TTAAATTCTATGATGGATTAGATGTAGCAAATTTGAAAAGGGGCATCTTGTCAATTTATCAATTGACAGCCTGAAAACAAGGAAGCAAGATAGAAAACTGTGTGTGCGTGTGTTAGGAATTGTGGAGAGGTGGTGAATCATAAATATCGGAAGCTCTTTTTGATTCAAATGGAATCAGTCTCACATCCTTCAGTAAGCCCCAAGACAGTCACTGTTGAAATTTAGAACTCAAACTACTTGTCATGTTTGGTTGAGCCCAGGACATCAAGCAAAGGCTAAAGTATTTTCTGTATATCCTATTTATGGAGTTGAGATTGTGTATATTCCAGATAGAATTTTGGGTGTCTTGGTGCTTAAAAGAGATCAAGGATCTCTTTAGTTACCCTGGGGTACTTCATCCTTGACAGACTGGGCTAAGCAAGATTTTCTGTTCCTCTTATTTGGTATTAACTGTTTATTGTTCAGGTATCCAATGTCTTAATCCTTTCAATACACAAATCTTTATTGAGCACCTACTTGCTTGACACTATTTTAAGCACTGGATATGTGGCAGTAAACAAATGAGACAAAGTGTTACCTTTATAGGCTTATATTTTAAAAGGGGAAGACAGCCCAAATAATAAGGAACGTCTAGAGAAATTTTAAAATTTGTACGTGCTATGCAGAACCCTAAAGCAGGGAAGCAATAAGAAAATGTCTGTGTTTAGGAGTTGTAATTTTAAACAGATTTGTGAGCAAAGATGTGAGGAAAGAATTGAAGGAGATGAGAATCAGATGAAAACAGCAAGTATAAAAGTCTTGTCATAGAAGCCTGCCAGGTGGCTTGAGGGACAGCAAGTGGTAAGTGAAAGGAGATAAATAGAGATGATGTCAGAGAACAACTGAAGGCAGAGGTGGGGAACAAATCACATGCAACATGGCAGGCCACTACAGTGGGGACTTTGGTTTTGACATATAGGATTTTTAGGTTATGATTGTAGTATTATTACCCAAAAGATGATGGTGGTAGATAGTAGTAGAGATGGTGAGTGTGATCGTATCTTGGATATATTTTGCAGGTAGACAGAATAGAGCTTACATGAATATATATGGGGTATTAAAGAAAGTAATGACATTAATATGGTCCTAAGGTTTTCATCTTGAGGAACAAGAATGGAGTTGACATTTCAGAAGTGGAGCAGTTTGGAAGAATGGGTTTAAGTAGGAATAACAGTAGTTCAGTCACGGTTATGTTAAGCATGAGACACGTATCAGACATCTTTGTAGAAATATCAATATAGATTTCCCCTTATTTAACAATTGTTAAGTGTTAATAGAGGAATTATGAAGTTTTTAGAAGGATCTCCAAATTCAATGTTAATTGGAGGTAGGTGGTAAGGTAGAGAAGATATCTAAACTATAAGCTCCATCTAGACATAAGCTCCATCAAGACAGATCCAAAAAGTCTCTATTTTTATTTTAAAATCTATTGGCCAGGCTTGGTATCTTATGACTGTAATCCCAGCACCTTGAGAGGCCAAGGCAGCAAATCACTTGAGAATCTTGAGACCTGCCTGAGTGGCATAGACCCTGTCTCTATAAAAATAATAAAAATTAGGCAAGTGTGTTGGTGCATGTCTGTGGTTTCACCTATTCCAGAGGCTGAGATGGGAGGATTGCTTGAGCCTGGGATATCAAGGCTGCAGTAAGCCATGATTGCAGCACTGCACTCCATTCTGGGCAACAGAGTAAGATCCTACTCTAAAAAAATAAAATAATAAAAGATAAACATAATTTGCTTCCCCTACTATAATGTTGACATGTACATAGTAAACACTCATAAAGATATGATCATTGAATAACAAAAGACCTGAGTGCTAAAGAATTAAGTGATTACCAATAGCCATTATTTATTCATTAAAGTGCCCGGCGCTGCTTTGTTTTACATACATGTTCTCATATAATTCTCATTAAGGCTATTACCTTGTTGTATTATTATGACAATTCAATAGAACAGGAAACTGAGACTTGGAGAAGTTAAAATAATTGCTCAAGGACAATTTGCCTTACTCTTTAGCCACTGTTTTATATCACCAAGAGGAATATGAGGACAGGACAATAGAAATTGTCCAGGTGGAGGGAACAACATACTTAAAATTGGAGGACCAAATGGGCCATAGCATCTGCAGGAGACCTTCAGCACAGTGTAGAGTGGACTAATCACCTTCCAAACTGGTGTTCGTATAGTACTTGACTGAAGTACTTTATCATAGACCCCCATCATAGTCTTTGAAAGGTAGAGAAATGTTTTCATTATCAGCATTGAGCTGGCATGAAAGTAGGCTTACAGGACTCAGTTTACAAATGTAGTCAATTATAACTAAGGTTTGAACTTGGGACTTATTTTACCAAAATTTAAAATAATTTCTTGCACTTCTAAGTATTTAAAATCTTGTCAGGAATCCACTGTGGGGAGGGGGGATGAGGAAATATACATGGGGAATACATATATTTTGATATAAAAAATGGAAACTGCAAAAGAATTTACAAGATAGAAATGAATCATCTGTAAGGCGATGATAATATAGTCATAGCTGTCATTTTCAATCACTTAGGGTGTGCCAGATGTGGTACTAGGATCTTTACATGTATTTGTTAAATTTAATCTCATAGCGGTTGAAAAGGAGGTTCTGTTTTCATCTCAGTTTGAGAGATGAAGAAATTGAGGCTGAGAGAGACCAAAGCAACACACTGGAGGTCATTACACAGCTAGGAAGTTGTAGAGTCAAGAAATGAATGAAGAATCTCTGAAATGTGAGTTCAGGCTCCCAATAGCTTGGTCAGGAGCTACACCACCTGGGCAGTACTTCCTTTTTCTCTTTGTAACGTCAAAGGTGAAATTAACAACTCCAAGGAGGTTCTGATGAGTGAGAAATTATTTTCTGAACCACAGTAACCTTTACATTTGTGTTCACCGGCCCTGAATCGGTTTTCACCCTAGCTTTGCACACTCTTTTATCACAGCTTAAGACAGCAGATGGCTCTCTTGCGTTTTCTTTCACTTACCTCCATCCGTAAACAACTAAACAGCTTTTTGGGGGAAGTAAAATGAAACTGCAGGGATTAAGCTAAAAGACCTTGATTATCCCAATGCTGCCCACCTCTCCAAGCTCCCTTAAAATAGGAAGCCACGTAGAAAAGAAATGACCACTTGAGGCTCCTGAAATTCACAACCAGAATAGGTGCCTGGAGCCTCCTGAGTCTGCTATTCCATGTGCTGCGCCAGGGGTCTGAACGTTCAAGAAAGAGAGTATCTCTCGGTTTTGGAAAAGCTGAAAGGCTTTGTGCTCCAAGGTGTGTTATTAATGTCAGTAGAAGCTGTGAAGGTTAATTTACTTCCTACCTTGAGGGGGAAAAGTGAGAAACTGCTTTTAGGGGAGGAAAGTGTCAGAGACCCTCACAGCCAGCACTTTTCACAATCAGCGAACTTGCATCTGTTGGAAGAGGTTTGACTGGGGCGGGATCCCTGTCCGCGGTGCTGAATGTCAGTCTGGTCTGAGGCTGCTGAACAATGAAGGGAGGGCTCTGAGAGAACCAAAAACTGAACTCCTGACCTCCCAGTTTAAGGATTTGGGGGAAAGACTGCAGTATAAGAAAATGCCTGCAAAAATATAAGCACAGCTATAAGAACAAGAAGCTTAATGTCACTCTTTTCAAATTAATGTAGTTGGAACATGTATCAAAAGGCTTAAAGAACCTTTAAAAATAAACCAGGTGTGTTGGTTGGGGAGGTCATACTAGATTTAAGAGGTCATTATACTTAACATTTTACTTCTTTCAAACACTCACTGCAAGAAGCCTTAGATAATAAACCTGCATGCTTTAATCTTACAGTCACTTCCAAATTCAAATCTAGAACTTCTGAAATGTACAAATGGCCTTTTTTCCTTAATGGAAACCAAGAGTAGTCACTCTTAATGTTCTATGGGACTCATTTCAGTGAATTGAAACAACACACACACTCAATAGCCATTTAGTTAGTTATTTTCGTTCTCCCTATAGACATCTTTCCCTTTTTAAGCAGGACCACAGCAACCCAACACAAATACACACTCACCAAAAATGGAAGAAAAGAGACATATGAAACAGAAAATAAAGAGGAAGAGGCAGAGCAAAATAAATAGCATGCCCTTTACCCTCACTTTTGCTGTTTTATGAGTGACTAGGGATTGCAGGTTTCTAGCAAAATCACTCTGGGATATTCCTTTTAATGACTGTAGCATTTGTTGACGTAACATAGCAAAGTGTGAAAAACAAACTTCCAGAAGTACATGTTTTAATATTAAATGTGATATACCCGATCCTAAAGCCAATGATGCCTGCCTTATATCTAAATCTGCATACTCCCATTAGGTTGCATTTCCTTCCCCAAAGGAGACTTGTTGGTAAATATGGAGTGAAGGTAGGAACAGCAGCCCAGCAGTGGCTGCTTCCATTGAGAAGCTGTGGATCCCTTGCTTAGAGCAGAGGGTGCCCAGCCTCCCTGTAATCTGCTGCACTTCCCCCGAGTTGCCTGGTGGCGAGTACTTTACTGCCTATTCCTGAGACAAAGTGTGTTTTGGCTGAGAACTGCTCCCAGGGATGCCTGTGTAGTGTGCCTGCCCTCTTTCCAGCTCTAAAGCAGTCACTGGAGAAGAAGGTGGTTGCAAGTCTCTTGATTACCAAATGAGTCTTCTTTCCCCCTTGCTTCACACTGAATTTTGCGAAGTCTAGTTTGAGCATTTCTTTTTCTTTAGCTGCCTGAGCTGATAGGCAAAGCAGTGTAAAGGGAAGGGGAGAAAAGTAAGAAGCCTGGAGCAAGAGCTGCACTTGGTTCTGCCACTCTGGTGTATCCTAGAAACCACGGAGCCATGTTCATCCAAGCATGAAGTGTCTGTCTCCCAACCTCCCACCCTCCCCCCACATTGTTTTTTCGAGTGCCCTCCACTGCCGCTCTTTCTCTTGGAACCTCACGTTTTCAGTTATCCGAGAGAGAACCACTGTCGGGACACAGACAGAAAATCAAGGGGAGGAGACGGTGGCTGTTGTATTTGAATTTCAGACACAGTTCAGATGGCTTTGCTCCCTGAGAGCTTCTCTGCCCAGGGACGCCAGAAGACGACAGCTCAAATTGGAGTGTCCTGTCTGGCTGCTTTAAGCTGTCACTGGAATAGTGTGACACCCTCCTCTGCCCCTTGTATTTCTGCCCTGACTTCTTCAATATTCTCCTAGGCGTTCATCCTACCCAGCTGCTGTTTTGTAGCAGCTACTGCGGCTGTCATCTCCTCCTCCCAGGGCTGGGGAGCAGATTTGGGAGTGGGGTCTTTCTATCTCACCTGATCGCATCTTCTCTCCTTCCCTTCCCTCCTTTTTGCTCCGTATAGCCTTTCAAAATGACAAACCTACCCTTCCTGGCAGCAGAAGGGAGGATCCTGCAAGTTTGGGTGGACTAGGTGAGGAGTAGAAGCGCCTCCCTCCTCCCTCCACCCCGGGGTTGGGGGGTGGGGGGCCTTGGTGCTGAAGGGATTAGCAGGGAGGGCGGAAACCACCTCACCCTCCAACCGCTGCTGAGAGTTTCTGTGCACCGGGAACCACGTTAAGACCAAGAAGCCCCAACCAAGCCGCGGAAGCCTCGGGAACCAGCGAGTTGCATCTAAGAAAAAGCACCCCGATGTTCCTGCAATTCCACCTGCTTTGGCTCAGCCTCTTAGCACCCCACCCCTGCAATCCATCTTAGCTTGCTTGCTTATGATTTTAAAATCATTATTATCTATACATTTTGTTTCTTTCTGAAGAGGTACATCAGGAGGGGGACCACATAGGTGGAGGGGGTGTAGCGGGGTGGGAACGGAGCGTTTGATTAGAGATCTCAGGGGAGAAGATTGGTCTCTCCAGATGCTGATTTCCAAAGCACTTGACAATCACCGGCAGAAGCCCAGAGCGGGCGGCGCCGGCGGCCGCACCGGCCCGGGGGCAGCTGGAGACCGGCGCTGAGTCCTGCCCAGCGCTACCCAGACCGACGGACGCACACAGAACCTGCCGGGACCCGCCCTCCAGCCCGTGCCCGCCCAGGGAGCCCAGCCCGCTCTACCTCCCTCCCGGGAGGCGGGCAGGGCGAGGAAGCAGCGCGAGTGGCGGTGGCGACCCCCGCGAGGGCTCCAGCGACCAGTGGTGACCGGCAGCGCCCGAAGCCACGGTCCCGCTCTCCACTTGGACACGGCCAAGCAGCAGCGGCCACGACCTCCGGCTCCCCGGGATCGTCCGGCTGCGCCCCGGGCACATCTGCGCTCCTGGCCCCTCACCCTGAGGAGAGGGCGATGGGTCCCAGTCGGGACTGAGCACCCCTTCCCGTCTCCCCAGCCCCGCCTAGCGCCCCCTCCTTTGCCCCGAGGGCAAGCCCAGGTCTGCGCCGCCACTTTCCCCTCCGGTGCCCCAGGCTCGCCGTCCTCCTGCGCCCTCGCTCCCCGGACCCGTTCAGGGGCCACCATGGCCGCGGCCATCGCCAGCGGCTTGATCCGCCAGAAGCGGCAGGCGCGGGAGCAGCACTGGGACCGGCCCTCTGCCAGCAGGAGGCGGAGCAGCCCCAGCAAGAACCGCGGGCTCTGCAACGGCAACCTGGTGGATATCTTCTCCAAAGTGCGCATCTTCGGCCTCAAGAAGCGCAGATTGCGGCGCCAAGGTCTGTGGGGGTCACGGTCGGGAGGTGCGCCTCGGGTCACTCCCTCCCCGCATGGACTGAGCTTCCCCAGGCTCCTTCTCTCCCTGGGTCTCCCCGTCCACCCCGGGCCCGGCCTCCCCAGCACCCCAGGCGGGCACCGTCCTGGGGATCCGGGAGTCCGCTGTGGGGCAACCTGTAGCCACCGAGAAGTGCAGCCACCGTAGCTGGCAAGTTGGCTGCTAGTCGCCAGTGGCACCTGCCCTACTTGTCCCTGCGGGCTGGGCTCTGGGAAACCTGTTTCCACTGAGTCTTGGCTTCCCTGGAGGAAGGGGTCTGGCTCTGGAACGCGTGGCACCCCTTTCCTGCCACACCCGGGGTCGCGCCGTGGCTCCTCGCAGTCTGATCTGAGCTGGCGGGGGTTTCCATGGGGTGGGCCTCACTTGGTCTCTGGGGTCTCCTGGAAACCTCCCGGGTTCCCAGACTTTGGCCAAGTGTGGGGATCCTGGCTGTGCCCCCAGCGGGGGTTGCTGTGGAAGGAGTGGAGGGTGTGTGAACTATGGCTGAGGTTTAGCAGTAGATACCTTAGTGCGCAGCCCTGGCTCTGCAGCCCTTCAGTCAAAGCCTGGGTTGGGGACAGGGGCGCAGGAGTCTGAGGAAAGAGTCTGAATTCTGGGGAGCGGGTCGGGGGGGAGGTAGAGGTCCCTAATATATGTCAGCTATAATTGAAAAACTGGTGAACTGCCTGAGACACAAGCCGCTACTATATAAAGGTGACTAGAATAGTTACCGTACTACAGGTATTTGTTTGAGAAACTAGTACCTAGGGTGACCTTCTTTCGCTGCCTTTGAAATGCCAGGGTCTGAGAAGGCGTCCTTCTCAGGAGCCAGGCGCTTTTGTCTCTCTCTGCCTGTCTCTGCATCCAGTTGCTAAGGCTGGTTGTTTTGAGAGCATGCGGCGTGTTCGGTGGGGAAAATAGACATTGCTGGCTTTTCATAACCAAGTGGGGTTGGTAGGAAACACTGAAGAATATATTTACGTTAATGGGAGTGCATGTTTGCCCAGCACATTACATTCTCGGCTCCCAGCTGTATTTGTTTTAAATGCCCTGTTGTTCCAAAGACCGGGGATAGAAGCATAAGCTATACATGTGTTTGCGAGTGAGTGAGTGAGTGTGTGTCCTTACATTTGCAAATTGATGACCAAAAGTTTTGATCCTTTTTATTTGTTGTTGTTTAAAAAAAGGCGAATGCTAAATATTTTAAAAGGACAATTGCTTGTTGTCACATTTAAGAAATTGGAGATTACTTGCTCTTACTATTAAGCTTAAAAGGCAAAGACAGGAAGAAAATCAGAATGGAAGTTCTGTTAGAGAAAGAAAATATAAATAAAATAGGGACTTCTTGTTGGAGAATTTGGGGTTAATCATATTTTCAGACCAGTGCCTAGAGCCTTATCCAGTTCACCTTGGTGTAATGAGACCAACTCGACTGCCTTAATCACTGTTGATAGATGGAGGATCAACCCATTATGACTTAAATTGTGCTTTTCCCCCTATGTCACTAAACAGACTCTCTTTTCGGATATGGTTTCTACCACATAGAGCTCCAAATTGGCTGTCTACTTAAAGTAAACTAACACACTATCTACTAAATAAGCTAATTTTAACATAAACAATGATTAAAACTTATTGTGTTTATTCCTTAAGAATATAGTCAATAGATTATTTTATAAATATGAATAATAAATGTTTTGTGCCATATTGGGTGGTGAAGGAGGATTTGCTATACACTTGATGAATTTTAAGTTGGGGGTTTACATTTTTTATCAGTGTAGAAAGATATCTGAGTTTTCTAACAGCCCATTTCTCTATTTTCAACCCTGACTGCTCTCTTGGTAGTCCTGATTTTGAAATGATAAGCAATCTTCAATGTTCTGTAAGAAAAATATATTTGAGGTCATTTTCCTACCTTACTTTTGACAGGAAAATTGAAGAGAAGATGTGTTACAAAGAAATATGATGAGAATTTTTTATTCTTATATTTCTTATCTATAAATATATATATTCTTCAGTGGAGAAAAATAGATATAGCTTTTGAGTATCCAAAAAGGATTAATTTATTAGCGTCACTGATTTTAAACAAAACAAACATTAAGACTTTATGTTATATAAATTATATATTGACATATAAAGATGTGCTTTCATGTTATTATATGTAACATTTATTTAATTAAATATTATTTTAGGACATTTTTAAGCATATTAGCTTCTTCTTACACAGTCTTTACATAGGGAATTGCCCTCAGAAAATATTAAAAATCATATTTGTTAATGTAAAGATACAACTTTTAAACTGATGGGTTTCTATGTCTTTAGAGTTGAAAATAATTAATATAACAATTATTGAATCATTACAATCTGTCAGAGCCTGTTGCAGGTATTATATATGTACAGCAGTGAATAGAAGAGTTGAAATTCCTGTCATCAAGGAACTCACAAACAAGGGGTAGGGAGTCATTGCCTATGGAAAGAACAAATTAATAAGAAATTATAAAATTCAAAGTCCTGTAAAGCATGAAGAGGGCTGGGATAAAGAATTATAGGGGAGAGAGGGCTGGGGAGAGGGATCTAATTAGATAAAGTAGTCAGGGTGGGTAACACTGGCATCCACAGGTTGAGAGCTGACAGGTAAGAAGGATGCAGAGGTTTTAAGAGGAGGTGGAAGGAGCAATGTGTGTGCAGAGACCTTGAGGTGGAAAAATTCTTGTCCCATTGGGAGAAAAAAGGGGCATAGAAATTTTAAGCACATTATCAAGTAGAATATATTTTGATATGCTTGCAAACAGAATAAAGAATAGCTCCACATTTTGTGTTTTGGGGAAGGGTAATAGGCATTTTTTAAATGTAGGGTTTTAAAAATTCCTTTACTAAGTAGTAATTTATTTTAAATGTAGAGTTTTAAAAATTCCTTTATTAAGTAGTAATTAGGTAGTAATGTATTACTACTTACTACTTAAGTAGTAAGTAGTAATGAAAAGAGTATTGAGTTGGAGCCCTATACCCACACACATTCCTATCTCCATCACCCCTACCCCCATAGAAGAGTGATGTTTATACCAGTTGACTTGCTCTTACGAAGAACAGAAATTTGCAAGATGGCTATTAATGGTGTGGTAATACCATGACTGTAGCCCACCTTTCCGAATCCAGCTCCATGTACCCTCTCCTGACCTTCACAGATTTCAAACACAGTTCAATCCCATTCCCCCACACACACCCCCAAAATTAGTCATATGCTTTCAAGTCTTTTGTTCCTGCTTTACTGTGTGCTTAGCATCTTCTCCTCACTTCTACATTCACCTGTTGAAATTATGAAATTACTCTCATTTTTAAAAGCTGAGAGAAAATGCCATCTCCTCTCAGAAGCCTTCCCTTATTGGATAGAATTAAAAGTAATTCTCCTGTGGCATTTTATACCTCACTGTTGTTGTTTATACCTGATCATAATTAATTCAGTACACATGTTCAACTGATTGTAGGTAAGAAGTAAAGTCTGCATTTTCTGCATCTTCATAGCCTCTCAAATCTTGATAGAGTCTTTGCCGTATACTGGGTTCTCCTCATTGCCCTTGGATTGGAGTGAAATAAGGAAGGTCAACCGGCCCAAGCTAAAAAAGAAAGTATCCTTGAACCAGAGTGATCTAACTAGATAATTTTAGACATAAAAATACTTTTCAAATTTTATACACTTTTTACTTTCCCTAAATAAATATAATTATACCTTTTTACAAAGAATTAGAGGGATTACATATTTGTGGGTTATTTATAAGAATGCAAGAATATAAACAACCTCATTTTAAAGCTTAATTAATATATGAACACAGATATGTAGAATATATATTGATTTATTCAAGGAAAGGGGAATTAACAAGGAAATCAACAGTTTGCAAATAGTTTTGTTATCTGGAGTCTTAACAAAAAATGAAAACTGAAGTAGAAACTGATTACAAGGATGTATAATGAACATTGTATCCCCAAAAGTGTTACGTTTTTATAATGAATTTTTCAATCAGACAAGAACCGTAACTGTTCACAAGAAAAAAAAAACCTTTCTAAATCTTTGGCATGGCTGCTAATGCAGTTGTTTCTCGAGATTTACTTTTTTGGGGGCTGTGATCATAACAGCTATGGTATTAGGTGTCATGTATGTTTAATCAGTAAGTACATGAGTTTCTTACTAACATTTTAACAAAATAAATTACAGTGTAAATAAGGAATGGAAAGTGAGATGCTTAAAATGTGTTTTCAAGTTAATGCATAATATAAAATGCAGAAATGTATGTACACCTACATAAACAAAACTGCTTTGCTCCAGTGTGACAGTGAAATTCATTAGTTATCCTAAGAATAGTGTCCTTCCTTTTTACAAGGTGCTGTGTAAGGAAAGAAGTGTCCACCCTCTCAGAAAATAATCAACAGCAAATAGTTATCCAAAAACCACTGCTTTTGGTGCTACTGTTTCGTGTCATTACCATGTGCACATACAATGACCACATGCTTGTTTACTTTGGCTGTTTAGGTTAAACTAAAAGAAGGGAACTTTTTTTTCAAAGTTTTTTTTTTTTTTTTTTTTTTTTTTGGAAGGTATTTTTTCTTTGGTTTTGGTTCTCTAAGGTCATACCCACTGGAGTCACTATACATTAATACCTACATATTAATAGCTGTCACTAACTTTTTGATAATTGTAATTTTATTATGTGTTTTTTGTATTAAGCTTAGATCAAATTGTGGTATTCTAAATGAAAATGTTAAGTTTTTTTGTTTTGTTTTAACAAGGGGCATATTGTAAATGCCGTTTCTAAGGGGGAGATCTTATGAGAGTATTACTGGATTGGTCAATGAAACAACGTTAGAGACAAAAAGGTATTCATTGTTTATACATTTTTTTCCTGTGGCTTGTTATGATTTCACAGTCCATATTTGCTACAGGTTTCTGAAAACGTCTAATACCTCAGTAGTTCA